GTAGTCGTAGTCGTAGTCGTAGTCGTAGTCGTAGGCGTAGTCGTAGTCGTAGTCGTAGTCGTAGTCGTAGTCGTAGTCGTAGTGGTAGTCGTAGTCGTAGTCGTAGTCGTAGACGTAGTCGTAGTCGTGGTAGTTGTCGTAGTCGTATTCGTAGTAGTCGTAGTAGTAGTCGTACTCGTAGTAGTAGAATTCGTAATAGTAGTTGTCGTAGTAGTAGTAGTCGTAGTAGTAGTAGTATTAGTAGTAGTAGTAGTAGTCGTAGTATTATTATTATTATTAGTAGTAGTAGTAGTACTAGTAGTCGTAGTCGTAGTCGTAGTCGTTGTCGTAGTCGTAGTCTTTGTCGTAGTCTTAGTCTTAGTCGTAGTCGTTGTCATAGTAGTGGTCGTAGTCGTAGTCGATGTCGTAGTCGTAGTCGTAGTCGTAGTCGTAGTCGTAGTCGTAGTCGTAGTCGTATTCGTAGTCGTAGTGTAGTGGTAGGAGTGGTGGTAGTAGTCGTACTCGTGGTAGTAGAAGTCGCAGTAGTAGTAGTCGTAGTAGTAGGAGTCGTAGTAGTAGTAGTATTAGTAGTAGTAGTAGTAGTATTCGTAGTCGTAGTCGCAGTCGTAGTCGTAGTCGTGGTCGTAGTCGTAGTCGTAGTCGTTATCGTAGTCGTAGTCGTATTCGTAGTCGTAGTCGTAGTCGTAGTCGTAGTCGTAGTCGTAGTCGTAGTCGTAGTCGTAGTCGTAGTCGTAGTCGTAGTGTAGTGGTAGGAGTCGTAGTAGTAGTCGTAGTCGTAGTAGTAGTAGTCGTAGTAGTAGTCTTACTTGTAGTATTAGTAGTCGTAGTAGTAGTAGGCGTAGTATTAGTAGTAGTCGTAGTAGTAGTAGTCGTAGTAGTAGACGTACTCGTAGTAGTAGTAGTCGTAGTGGGAGTAGTAGGAGTCGTAGTAGTAGTAGTAGTAGACGTAGTAGAAGTACTAGCAGTAGTAGTAACAGCAGTAGTAGTAGTCGTAGTAGTAGTAGTAGTAGTAGTGGTAAAAGTAGCAGTAGCAGTAGTAGTAGTAGTAGTCGTAGTAGTAGTAGTAGCAGTATTAGTAGTCGTAGTCGTTGTCGTAGTCGTAGGCGTAGTCGTAGTCGTAGTCGTAGTCGTAGTAGTAGTAGTAGTATTAGTAGTAGTAGTAGTAGCAGTAGTAGCAGTAGTAGTAGTAGTAGTAGTACTAGTAGTAGTCGTAGTCGTAGTCGTAGTCGTAGTCGTAGTCCTAGTCGTAGTCGTAGTCGTAGGCGTAGTCGTAGTCGTAGTCGTAGTCGTAGTAGTAGTAG